AAGTGCGAACTCATTTTCAAACTCACGCTTTACTGCATTCCATACCCATAATATACATGTATATATATATATATATATATATATATATGTATTTAGCTAAGTACTATGTAGCTAACTTGTAAAAGCAATAACAACATAAAAGAGCAAGAACAACAACTATGATGCTGTTTGCAAAGAGAGGATGGTAGGTTGGCAGCTGAAATGTGTTGAAGTGAATGCGTGACATTAACTTGCTCTTAAATGCCGTCTAGACCAAAGTAATAAGGGGAAGAGAAATTTGTGAGGACATGCAATTTGCATAAAACTGCAGTAAGAACTTGAAGTGCGTTACTGGCCTTCTGCGTTTATTGTAGGTCAACACTTTTTTAAAATTAATTAAATTTTAATTATGTTAATGACAGCATCAAAAAGGAATAAAAAGCACAACAGTAGCATACTACTTACAGATTCTATTAACACGTCTTAAGGCCAGGCAGGACAAAATGCAGGGCAGAGAATGCAAAATGCGTTTTTATAAGCGAACACGATTTAAACATAAATTGATATGTCAGCAGTCAGTAAACTCTGCTCTACAAGTATATAATTTTCGGTCTGCCTATTATAATCATGGTTTCCTGTTTTAATTGACTTGTAATGAACACAAAGTGTCTCACAGCAAACATTTTATAGGCGGATATTAAAATTTAAGAGCACAACAGGACAAAATGAAAAATGCAAACATTTTGCGAATTCCATTTTCAACCGAAAAAGCTATAAATTTGGTATATGAATTCCGAATTTGGTATATGAATTCATTTTAAATAAATGGCGATAATGTTCGTATTTAATACTAGCTGACAAATGCAATGAAATAGCAATTAGACTTAATAAAGCCAGCGGAAGGTTTAGTAGAATGGAATCATCATAAAATAAAATAAATAGATAAAGCTGCAAGAAACGTGCACAAAATAAACTCATTTTAATTGCAGTGGAAAAATGTGCAAAATATCAAAAACAAACGAGAGAAATAAAAATGAGGAATAATATAAACGGAACGAGTTCCTCAAAAGAAATTACAGCATCAGCAGAGAGATGCAATAACCATACCAAAGTATTTATCAGACAGAACTAATTAATGCAAAGATTGATTTTGCCCACAAGTAATTAACTGGATTAAAATAAATTGCATATCTCAAATCGCAGGATATTAGCAGAAGCTTTTGAATTGCTTATAAATTAATATTTTGTATGAGACGCGTGTCTGTAACATTTAAATGAGTCCATTGAAAATGCAATTTCAGTTTGAATGCAGCAATTTGTGTGGCCTGGTAATGTTGCCAACTTGACTCTTAAGCTGTGTACGCTCCAAGTTCAGAGATCTTCATTGGAATCTGTGCACTCGTAAAACTTAAGCAAATTTAAGCGATGGTTATAAAACTACAGACGAAATAAAGTGGTCAACTTGGAGTTTTCATGTTGGCATTCAAGAACGCAGATTACTCAACTTCATTTGGCGTATTTGATAGAGTAAAACTTTACTTTAGTGCTCGAAACAGTATCGGTATACGATTTGTTACGCTTTAGTGGATACTCGTCTACTCGTACATATATATACCTATTTATAGTATGTGTGTATCGGTTATTCAATTGTGTACTCGAGCATTTGAAGTGTGTGCCGTGATACGTAAGGATCTTTGGGCATTAACCCAACAGTTGACAAGCGTATTTCGACTTCGCTTTTAGTGCCTGTCATGCTGGATAACGCCATTGAAATTTGATTAGACACCGAGCCAAGTGTGTTACTGAAGTATCTACATTTGCATATGTAAATACGAAAAACTCGATATCTGAGTGATATGTAACAGTTACACATGAGCTACTTTGGCAGATTGATACCATTTTTGTATGATAAACGAATCTGAAACTTTTGGCAAGCAAATTTTCAAGTTTTATCATCTAACAAATATTATCGATTATTAGCAGCGATTTCTAAATGTTTATATTTGTATATGCATCAACAATTTCGATATATTAAAAAAGAAATTAGTTACGTTTAACAAAGTCGACTAGTTGTTTTTCCTGGTCCAAGTTTTACTTAAGCCATTTCCCAAATGACTTCACATAATGTTTGAATCATAGCTAAGTGAGTTGTGTATGTGTGGCATAGTGTTTGAGTGTGTGTGTGTGTGTGTTTTACTCTGACTTCAATGCCAAGGAAAAGTTGGCCACTCTCGCCGAAATTCTTAAATTGATTTGGTTAATTTGTTGTGCGAACTTTTGTGGCCCAGGCACTTAAGGCATTTAAATGTAGATTTAAAAGCCAAGTAAGCTACGCACATATATTTCAGAAATATAATTGGGCATATCTCACAAGAAACCATTACAATAGCACACATTTGGGAATTTTGGTTTGTATAGATATATATATATGTATATATAAATATTTGTTTCGTGTCATCCCCTTAGACCTGAAGATGAGTGATGGGTTGGGTATGAAGAAATAATCTGGAGTCTAGACAGTGTATTATCTTTTGTCTGAGGTTATACAGGAGCTAAGTCAAATTGTATCAATCGCCCACTAAAATTTCTTAAAAACAGCAAAACACCTCAACGGCTCAAAGAACTCATAGCTTGTATGTGGGTTCGATGTGCAACATGTTACAAGCGACAGAAATGTTGCGACTAAATGAAATCCTCGACTGAGGATATTTTTCTATAAATTAACAGCGATGCTGTTCTGTTAAGGCAATCTCTAACAGGCCAGCAACTGAAATTCCATTTTAGTTCGAAGCGGAAGTTTGGCGTGTGCGGTTCGGTTAGCGCATTTTGGTCTGAAAATAATAAAAATAAAATATTTTCCACACGGGATTTTACGACAGAGCTTATCACGCAACAAATATTAATTTGAGAAAATAAAAAAATTTAAATATATTAATAGCATAAGTAAATTAACAAAATCTAAGTGACAAAAATAGTTATGTGATAACAAGTCCCTTAAAGTGGAGAAAGTATTAAAATTATAACAAAAGTAAATAAGAAATACTGAAGAAAATAGTGCTACCAAAAAATACGATTTGTAATAAATACATAACAACGGAAAGTTATAATAATGCTTATCAGTAGAATAAAAGGTTTTTAAATTAATGCAAAATCACACTTACAAATAATGTTCAATAATCTATCTATGAGTCTTAAGTAACTTACTTACTAGTTCAAACTGGAAACACCTATAAGTATGCAGTTAACAATTATATCAAATTCCTTATAAAAAATACTAAAGCGCCTCATGTTTGCCGTGAGTTAAAATGGAAAAATGCATGTAAATTACAGCTTAAAGTATATAAAAATTTTGGAAGAAGGAAATTTATTTAAAGTGCCTGACTATTAAGCTGGTTGTATGCTTTCTTTGCAAGACTTAAATGACACCTCAGCGATGGATTAATAAATGTAGCTGGAGGTGTTATTAGCATTGCTTTCTTGAACACAATCTGCATTAAAAGAGCTGATAATTGACAAAAGGGCACGATTTCAATTGCATTTTTTTGTTTGTTTTGCGTTTTCTTTGAATTCTTGAGTCAAAAGATAAAAGCGCGAAAAATGCTAATTAAATCTACTGCAATTGACGATTTTGAAAAGCTTGCGCAAGCAACCAAGAGCAAATAGCGATAAATGGTAGACTTGAATGAAAGAAATGGAAAAAGAAGCAGTAAATATTTAATTAGGGGGTCACAGTGCTTTCTTGGGATTTGTTATCTTGAATTTCTTAACAAGAGTTGCTTAAACAGCTGCTACAAATTATATTTGAGTAATATTCGCCACAGACAAAATGAAAGCAGCTAAGCGTGTGTACTGCAAGTAAAATATTCGTATGTACTACAGGTATGAATCTGTGATAAATGAATCCAAGAAACTGATAGAACACATGGCATATGGTGGCTTATAATCGAAAATAGTTATGCAGAAAACCAATCAATATACTTCATAATGTCTGCCGCTCAACGTGCCCAGAGCCGAGTAAAATCCGTGCTTGTATAAATATGGCAATTTATTCGAGCTATGTCGGATCATTATTTTCTCGCAAAACAAATCTTGGCGCGATGACAAAATAGCACAGACCCTGAAGAAAATAATTTGTGAGAAATATTCTGCCGACAATCAATCAATAGCACTCCCACTTCTGTTGCTGTCTGGTCCTCGGTTAAGTGCTCCATTACAAGCATAAAAGCAGAAAAACCTTTTTTTTTTTGTTATACCCTAAACACATTCAAAAGGGTTAATATTGATTTCAAGACCACGTTGTTAAGCATATCTCAAAAATGATAAGAGCTAGTTATTCGAAACTTGAAGTTTCTTTTTTTTATGCAGCATACAAAGGACAGATAACTTTTACGTTCTATATACCACTTAACAGAATTGTTCATGCCAAAATCAAAATTAAAAATCACAGATATGAAATAATGTTGGGTTAACTATGCGCTGACTACAGGGTGTCTCGTAATCTCGCACTCTCGATTCGTGTGCTTTTAATTTTGTTATGTTTTGGAGTGCTGACAACGCCGAAGGCGTTAAAAGGCCACTGAAAGAGCATCAAATATTTCAAGCGTGCCAAAGTTCTTTTGTTTAACCAGTCGACCAAAAAGCAAAATAATTTAAAGGGCTAAGAAGGGATATGCGCACCAAGCGCATAAAAACTGCGTTGTCAATATACAAATTGAAAATATTTTATGTGACAGCTTCAGCTATTTTTTTTATGTCACGCCCCAACTCTTTTTACAATTTTTCAACATTAAACATAGTGAAAATATGTAATTCCTTATATATTATATTTAGCCTGTATCGAACGTAGTTCACGGCATGTTTATACTTTATTCAAGTCAATTTTAAACATGAAAATTTGTTTTAGTCAAAGAGGATTTTAACTGCCAACTTGTTGGATATTTAAGGACAGTCACAAAATGTGTATTCCTTTCTAAATACAGCTCGACATTTGTGATTTATACGTGCGCTTATCTCTAACTTTGTGTACGTGTGTTTTGTGTACCCCGCGGCGTATGAGTTATGTGCAACGATTGTTCGCAATGTTGATTTGACGACGACTCAGTGAATCATAAAATGTCGCAGTTTTTCATGGTCAAAATTTGTTCATTGTTTTCAGTGCACGCATGGACGTGATGATGACATTACGAAGCAAAGCTCTCGACTCCTATTCCCACGGTCTGTCACCTGTTTGGAGCGTGTCCGTGCGTTAATCAGACACATACACACTGTTATCCATTCGTACCTAGACTCAGTCGAAAAGCAGACACATGTGCGCGTCAGGAGCGTCCACAAAAACGTGACACATGGCGATGTACTTTTATGCCAGTAAGATATCAGCCATCGCCTGCGGCACCCGTTCCAAGCAAACCGTCCTTCAAAAGTCGCGCGGTCAACGGGATCGCGACAAAGACATATATCGTCAGCGGGGATGTCTGCAGCAGAGCTCCGATAGCGAGACAAGCACGGACGAGGCAGACTCTGTCAAGCCATCATCTCAATTCCCGGATGTTGGCATTTTCTCACTCGATGTCTGCAGTTCGACTGTGGAAACGACAACGCCATCCAGCCTGCAACTGAGAAAGGCACTCGAACAGGAAAATGAGTGTGCAGCGCAACTTGATGCGAGTGAATTGGAACTGGGGTTTCGGCAGTTTGAGGTGCGATCGTCGTAAACTCAAATGAGTGAAAACCAAATGAACCTATTTGTTTAATTTTACAGCTTACGAACGCAAAATCAATAGCAATGGGTGCTGGCAATGACACAGTTCAATATGATGTGCCCAAAAATTCGATAAAGCTCAGCCAATGTGATATCAATTTTGAGGCAATTACAATTAATTCCTGGCATCCCTTATTAAATTTGTATACTCTGTTCCAGAAACTAAAAAATATAATGAAAATGTCTGTCTGTTATCCGTAAGCAATATTAATCAAACCTTAACATTTTTATTGAGTTTTATATATTTGGAGCTCGCCTATATTCATTTCCAGTTCCGCCCTCGTAATTAACATTTTTTCTGGGAACAGAGTATATGACAGTCTGCAGTTTCCATCTGCGACTTACTAAATTGTTTTTATTTTTTTGTAAATTGATTTTTTGATTTCTTTGATTTGCAGAGCTCTGTTTTGGGTTCCGGCGGCATTATGTATATAAATGGTAAAATAGTTTCTGGCCCGCTGGACTCATTTACTGATGTGCTCATACCCAAGAATGTCAATGATTTGGATAAGGTAATCAATAACAAAGAGAAAATATGTATTTGTATTAAATATTACAGGCCATCAGAATAAATAAATTAGCTAACAAATGCAGTCTATTAAAAATTCATTGATGCACATGCAAATAATAAAAACGAATGCAATGCAATGCATTTTAAATTAAACTAAAATGTTTGCAGTAAATCAATAAAATATATTGTTTGGTTGTCTTTTAAATATTTCACACGTGATTGTAATAAATAAATAATCTTTGATTGCAAATTGAATACATAAAAACACATACTAAAAACTCAGTGAATTTAAACAATTCAATTCTGTAGTTCAATCGAATTCGTCATATTTGATGGAGAAGAATTAAAATAATTTTGTTATAGAAAGCGCTTTCTAGGTTAAAACCTATATTCAGGCATAGTTGCCAAGAAATTGAAGATTTTTGAAGATATTTTAAAGTCTAAACCACAATTAAGCTACAGTCGGCAAGCATCCCAAGGCAGATAAATAAAGCAACAAGATAGTTAGGCAAAGTCTGGACGGATGAACTACGAGATGCGCACAAGCAAGCACAACAATAATTAATTCGTTGCAAACAAGTCCTGAGGCCTGAGCGCTAATTTGATAGAGATGCAAACAGATGAAACTAATTGAGTTCAACTCTGTCTACGTGTGGCTCATAAAAGCTAAGAAAATTCCATTCCAATTTGCTCTCAACTGTGGTTATATTTATGACCCATTAAACTCTTGCTTGTTTCGCAGGAATTTCTGTTCTCATTCTTATTATCATCACGCTTGTTCTTGCGACCACACGAGCTGTTGGGAAAACTGTTGGACTCGGTACCTGATAGTGAATGCTTAGAAACACTAGTTGCCCTTCTGGCCGAATGGACGCAGAAATTTCCGTACGACTATCGGGACGAGCGCATGATGAATCATATAAAACATATCGTTGCTAGGTGAGTGATTTTCTTAATTCAACTGCAATTTCTTGTAAAATGGTCAACATTTTCTGGTAGATGCTCCAATTCACATTTAGAAGCCGCAGTCTCTCAAGTACTAAGTGCCTTACTTAACCGTTTGACTGATTTAGAGGGACATGAGGCCGATCTGCGTGCCTGTCAGATCAGTAACGATAAGGTGCGCCCATAACTAGTTTGAAGAGGTTTATAATCATATTTGATCCCATTGTACACACTTTGCAACAGCTCGCTTCAGCCCTTAACTGCACAACTGCCACTCAATATGCACAAGTCTTGTGTCGACTGGAAAAGAAATTGGCCAAGCACATTGGACCAGAGGAGTTTCTGCAGTGCAGCAGCCTGGTGCTTTTGGATAAACAGGTAAGAAATTGTTTATAATTTGAAGTCAGTTTGATGGCACAGTATCACCTAGGAGGTCAAGAATGTGTTGAGTTATGCATAGATGCTAAGATGTTGCCCTACCCTTTTGGGAAACACATTTAAACAGCGCCATTTTGACAGTCACATAGAAATATGTACAGCAATCTCACCCATCTTTATTATCACCATGTCACATGCCACTAAATAATTTGTTATCCCAACGCTTATACCTACACAGAAGAAGTGGGACCAACCTTCATCATCCGCTGGACCGCAGGGTGCACAGGATCCAAAGAAGACATGTAACCTGGAAACGTATCTGGACTGGTCGGCACGTCTGCGTCTCTTTGTCTGCAATGAGATACTGCAGGTGAGTGTTACGCCATGTCTCTGGGGAACAGGTCAGCCATGCGCAGAGTTAAGTTAAATATATATACCAAACGAATTTGTAGACCATGCGGATTGTATTAAAATTACCATGTTTGGTATAGTTAGTTAAATATGTGAAGGCTACGTGCTGTCAAAAGGCTCATGCGACATTTTCACAGTCAAACAGGAAACCATTTTCACTTCAACTGCTTGCTGGTCACGTGAGCCAGCTTGTTATAAACTTTGTTAAGTCATTTTAGCTCAATTGTTTTTTTCCCGTAACAATGTCTAACTAGCTTCCGGTAGTTTGTTTGTTTCAGTAATCAAACATAGACTTTATTTACAGTGCAGAGGAATCGAGGAGCGCAGTAGAACAGTGGAGGTGTGGAGCGGCGTGGCACAGTATTGCTTGCTGGTCGGCAATTACAATAGTGCAACGGCAATTTTGGAGTCACTGGAATCACCAGCCATATCGAGGCTTAAAATTACGGTAAGTGTATTATATAATACTTTCGGTTATAAATTCATCGCTAACAAATAAAGATATAAGCTTTAAATTCGAAAAAAATATTTATTTACAAAAATTAATTCAGCTTCATACTTCGAATTGTGAACAAGTAACACAAAATTGTTCTATGATTTTATTATACGGCCCAAGCATAATCTAGTAAAGATAGTCGCCTATTAAGGTAATATGTATAACCACAAAATTAATTATATTTATCTGATTCCAGTGGAGCAAATTGCAAGTGACATGCCAGCAATTGGATTGCATGCAACGACATGCCGAAGGACATGGTCATTTATGGCATAAGCAGACAATCGTCTTAAATGAGCAGCATCCAATTCGAAAGACTGATAAGCAGACGGTAGTTTCGATAACAAATGAGCCATCATTATCACCAGTAACAACAGTAGCAAATGAAGTCACTACAACAGACAGTGAGGCAATCTCGACTTGTGCCAGTGGGCGTCGAGACACATCCGGGTTGAGTATAAGGCTCACGTCCAAGACCCTGTCTGGGACAACAACAACAGAAACTGTAACCAGTTGTGGCAAACCAAACGATTGGGTGGTTATTCCTGTGTTTGCGGATATTGTTAAATTGGCACTGGTCGAACGTGAAAACTGTTTGCAGCGGTGAGTTTCTGCCTTAAGTTAACTTTTCCTGCTTAGTTCGATTAATTAACATTGAAAATATCCATGAGAAAAACCTCTTTTAACTTAACGCATTAATAAATAAAAGCCCATTTTATTCGCTATCTGCATTGGTTTGCTTTACCTAATTGACCACAGCCAAACGATTTTAACAATCAATTGAAGTTCATGTTTTTCAGTTGGTGAAATGCTTTTTAATTTACTTTTAAAGCTCATGCGTTTTATTATTTTCTGCTTCTGGTTTTAAAATGAATGCATTTATTGAAAGCGGCATTTATATTTACCAGCGCTTAAATGCGTAAACATTCTTAACAGATAATTCGTTATATAAATGTTGAAATATTTTCAAAACATGATACACATATCAAGCGAGATTATCTCTAACACACTTTTTATTTGAATATATTTATTTTTAAATATATATACGCTTGCAAACAAAACTCATTGAAATGGATTTATATTTGCTTCTTTTTACTGTTGCAGTTTACCAAATGGCCACTTTAATATTGCCGCCTTCGATCGCATTGGGGCGATTGTTGGAGCCTTCACAAAGCACATGCATTCTATGAAATTGGTAGAGGAGCCATCTATCTGCGAGTATGCGAGCTTCTGCTCCCACATGCAGCAAACATCCAAACTTGGCGAAGCGGGTAAGCAATTTTAAAGAATGGAGTTCACTTTTAAATACTCAAAGTATTGGTTAGAATTGTAGAATTTAAAATCAGAATATTTCAACGTTTTTTATCTTCATAAATACCTTTCAAGCCATTTCAGTTAGGCTGCATTTTACAAAAACACATTTATTCAAGTCGATCCTTGTCTTTGCCAGTATGAATAATAACCTTGCATCACCGATAGGAATTTCAACGTTGTACAGCGCATACTCAAGTTCATCCATTAGCAAATTAATCTTCGACACCCCAGAGAAATTTGTCCTCTTTGAATTTTATTATTTTAAAAAGCAAGCTCATAGAGTTTCTTATCAATTTCAAAAAATTCACTTAGATTAGATTTACAAAAATAACAAATTGCCTTGATATATGTATTCTTTATCGTTAACCCAAATGCCATGTCAAGAAAAGGAGCCGCTTAATATGTTGAGAGGGAATGTGCTTAAGATTAGATATTTAAATATTTTCATGTTTAAGCAGCAAACAAATTCCATAGTGCCAAAATTAAATTGAAATTTGTCGGCCAGGAGAGACAATATATATACGTGTATTTGTATATTAACAAGTGTGCACATAGATATGTGTATATGCGTTCATTTATGTGTGTGCACATGCAAATGTTTACGGCTTTGCTCATTAGGCAAACGTGTGGCTTAAAGGATTGGGTAGCGACCAAATGAGCCACTCATTAATTAAGGATTTTGTTAGTGTGTCTCCTTATTCTCAAGAGAGCTTGTGAGCAATTTACGTAGCAAAATAAATTAGACATTAGTTATTCAAGTATTTACAGACAGGAGCTGCAACAGGCAAGGTATTTACGATGCCCTAAATGCGTTCAAATCTTAACACAATCCACAATCCAGCAGGATGTTCACTTAAGGCTACGTACTGTTGTCTAGTTGTGTATTGCATTGGTAGCTGTCAACAGAGTCCGGACACGCAACTTGACAGCCGAGTGAGCTGAGCTAAATAGATAAAGCGACTCGAATCGGTGGCCAGTTGGAGCCCCATTCTTCTCGTTCCATGCCACTGCCACACACTGACTCTTAAACAACTGACAGTAGTTGGCTGTCGCTGTTATTGTGTTATTTCAAGATTCGATTTGTTCCTAGGGGGATGTTGTCGGGTACTGGAGATAAATGACATTAACTGTTATCTATTACCTGTCTTGTCTGTCATTATCTATTTTGCAATTTGATACCAGAGCAATTTAAAAAGTATTTTAAATTATTTTTTATGTGGCTGTCAGTGCATTGAACGGACCTGGGATGTCATTACGAATGTATAAAGTATACTTAATCAATTGATTGAAAATAGTTTTCAAAGACTTTTAAAGTACTGTCGTACTAAAAACTATGTTAATATATATTTAACATATCTCTCTTTTTTAAATTTATACTTGTTTTTCTAATTACAGAATTAATGATGGCTTCTTTTGCTTGCGAGGAACCCAACAATGCTGAAAAGATGATGTACGACTTAAATTAATAGGAATTAATTATGCTATAATGAGTGCATTCTAAAGTAACATATTTGGATTTGGACATAATAACAAATCGATATTGTTTGTATGTAAATATGAAATAAACTGCAAAACATGATAATAAAAATACATTGAATACAAAATTAAACTAATTGTTGCATATGTCTTCATATTTTTCAGTATATGATTCGGAGAAGTGCTTATATATTTTAAAAAGTTTTTTATTTTCGTAGATCAAATGGCTTACTGTGTTACTTTGAAATCTAATTATCAATATCTCATTATTTTTATCATATTATAGAATCGTTCATTGTGCATAAAAAACACCTAAAATCAGAATATTATTTTAAATTTTATTCAAACAATCTTGATGAGCGAAAAAGAAACAATAATTAAAATATTTCCAATGGAGCACAGAATTTATTCCCATGAAGTTTGGATTAATTTTTAAGCCGCATTTCGCATAGCCTTCTGAATGACTTAATAGCATCAGTTGGAAGTCATAAAATATTCCAAAATTAATTTTCGACTTAAAGTTGTAGTTGAATAAATATGGCATATTTCTTATATACAATATCTTATCTTATCTTATATACAAAATATTAAGAATGAAAATATGTACAAATGTTCATTAAGGATACATTCATTGTATAGCGATTTTTCTTAACATATTTTGTGTAAATGTCGAATATGAATTTCTGTATTTTATTGATAAGTTAGTCTGCACATGAGTTACGATTCATACAAAAATCAATTGTCCATTATATTTGAAAAAATTGAAAATTCTGCAATGTCATATATCATTTTTATGTGAGTACAGCGAGCGTAAAATGTTTATTTGATTGCAGCCAAAGGCACCAAAAACTAAAAATATGCTATAAAAACTAATCAATTGTTAGCCAAACGCTTTGGACAACAACAACCAGGTAAAATAATTCATTCCAGTTGCAGGTTCTGTGATTCGTTACTGCATCTCCAAATATAACGAAAGAATCCATAAAATATATTTGCGGAACAGCAAAAATTCAAAGCGGCAATCGCTGATTCAAATTTGATAAAAGCATTTATTTTTCGCGCATTACAGCAAAAAAAGGACCGAATTTTATTTATGTACTTGGCCTTCAAACTTGTCTGTTACTGAAATCAATTTACACATATCGACAATAAATAATATAGAGATATTTACAACCAACACACACTGACCTGAGTAACTATGCTGAACCAGCGAACCATCCGACTAGTTTGCTCTTCACGGTTCCTGTCTGTGCATAATTCGTGTGTCAAACTTTGTCCTGCGAGTGGCTGCAGCTTGCAGTTACGGTCTCCAAAGGACCTTGGCCACCACCTGATAAATTCTCAGATTTGCATGCTAATGAATGGAGCGAGTCCACAGGGTATTCTGTGAACTTTTTAAATTATTGGCGTGGCCTCCTCGAGTAGTTCTCAACTATTAAATGCATCAGAAGGCGACAAATTGATGTTGATGACACGCGATTGGATTGCACTTCGGTCTTTAAAGTTTTCTTCTGTTACTTAGCTATCAGCCCTCAACATTTTTTAAAAATATGTTTTAACTAACCTACAAAAATTTTAAAAAGAATGTTGGCACCTGTTGCATGCCTGGAAAGGAAAGGAAAAAGGATGAACTTTTTTTTAAATTTAAATTTAAGTCTGCACACTGTCACCAGCTTTAATAATATGTCTTAAGGGTCTTAAAATTTAATTTGCGTTTAATTTTTTACCCTTTATATATAATAAGTAAGCTTAATAGGGCTTTTCAATGCAGATTTCGTATATATTTATATATATTAACCCAAATAGAAGAAACCACATAATTTGCTTAAAGATAAATTTTTTGACGAGATATGATATTTGCTGCTGGAAACTTTTCACTCATTTGTCATAACATAACTAAAGTTTTGGCAACTTTTACCTTAGCTTACATCATGATGTCCATTTTTAGCAAAAATCAGAGCCAGAAAAATGTTGGCAGTTGCACCGCAGCATAATTTTGCTTAACTTTGCGTCTCTATTTAAAATCCACAATTAAGTGGGGGAATTGCGTGTGACTGCTATTTTCCAGTTTAGTCAGTTTCAACACACAACCGCCTCGGCTGCTGATCCTGATCAAGATTATATATACTTTATGGTGTCGGAGATGCTTCTTTCTGCGTGTTACATACTTTCACACCTCTCCATATACATTTTTCACCCGCTTTTAGAATATCTGCCCTCGAATAGCGAATAATTTAATCAAACACTTTTCAAATAGCGCAAAACGAACGCAGAAAAGGAACAATCACAAAAATGGAGCAAGGCAATCAGATTCAAAGAAAAATGCTAAGTTTAATTAGCAGATAATTGAATCTCGAACAAGCGAATCAAATCAATTGATTGATTAATCATTGTTCACTTGAGCATCTGTGCGTGGAATGAATCTCAGTTTAATTAAGAACCAATGGAAAATACTCGATGCAAAGCTATATTGAGCTTCGTTTTGAAAGCATTATATGCATATCGCTGCTTTTCTGAATGACATCTACAATATTGCAATGAAAGCATAACAAAAACATACATCTTGCAGTTACAAATCAAATTTAGGAACGTATGTGTGATTGATGATTTTGGTTTTATTTAAGCGCATGATTTTCGTATGAATGATTTTCTAATTAACGGGCAGATAGAAAAGTTTACTGCGGAGACTTACCCTTAACATTTACTTGATGAGATTGTTAGGGTCAATAATTATGAGCGATGCTAGCCAGACTATTAGACGCTGATTTCTGTAATCTACGAAAGATATTTGAGTATTTATAGTCATGGTAGAAGCGTACACCAATTTTGCCATATTAATTGGCAACATTCTAACACTAACTAAATACATACATGCATTATTATACATGGACCCAAACAAGTAACCAACGGTAACACAAAATGTTTTCCCCAAAATGACATCAAATTGCTATTGTTCGCTGGTCCCAAATCATATTGAAAATTGAGCTTTTTAATTAGAGGCATTGCGTGCCGCAAATTTCACATCGAGTGACTATTCGACTGGCAACTCTTTTCGTGGTGACCCAATTTGCATTACAAACTGAATTGCCAATTTGAGTCTCTCTTTCTCTCTTTTACTACCTGTTCCATTTATATCAGTTGTTTTTTGGCTTCATTAGCGGTTTACTTGGAAAACTGGATGATTTATAATTGTCAATCGTCAATATATATGATGTCGGATTAATTTTGGTTTCTATTTTAACTCTACACAATTTTCTATTTATTTTATTTCAATCTTTTTTTGAGCTTATTATGAATGTCGTTTTTTTTCAATTTAAATATTTTATATTCATATTCAAATTGACAATCTTGCAAACTTGTTAAGCATTGGTATTTTTATAAGAGAATTGAATTTATAAAGAATGCTCATATGAGTAGATAAATATCCATATCATGCTACACAAAAGACTGAATGCAGAGGCGCCTCAATTGAATAACGAACCGCGAAGGCTTGTCAAGTGCAGTCGAGCAGCCAACTGTAATTAATTTATTTTTCTTCATAAGCAAAGTTTAAAAACGGTTCATTCGGGGCTGGTATTCAGTGTACTTCGAGTGAAACTTGTGTGCATATTATTTATAATACGATCATATTGTCTTACCTAATTGGCCAGAGCGTGTGATAAGATGGGCACTCGGTTGCAAGTAATCTGAATGTCGACACAATAAAGTATACAGTTAAGTATTAAAAATAACTTGAATGGAGGTTTTAAAGGTTTTTTATATCTCAATGAATTGCATTTGCATACTGCCTCTTACTTAATTCCAGTCAAATCTCTCCAATTGCAGCTGCTTCACTGAGCCTTTTCAACTAATTGGCGAATAAATTACCAAGCTAAGTGTGTTGCAATCTCTTTCACTGAAGACCTGCCGTGCTGCCTCTGCTTCCTCGTCATTGAACTCAATTGATAACTATTAATACTGATTGCAATAAAATGCAATACAAATAAATTGGCTATTGAACGAATTTAATTTAGCAAAAGTAAGCTGTTGCAAAATAATTAGTAATCAAATTAATTCTCATATTTGTTCGTTTTAGGAAACAATGTATTCTAAAGCAATTTATTACGTCATACATTCACTAATATAGTTTTCCTTCCTTTATCTACCTTTTAATTTTTAAGCACACGCTATTCACAGCTGTGGTAAACTGGTAACCAGGTAAATAATTTTATCACAGGTACAGAGTGAGCACAAAATATACAGAGAATAACTAGGATAGCTAGAGACACATAAATTCCAGCTATCAACACTTTGGGGGCAACCGCCCTTCTGCGGGTTACACGTGGTTCTTGTTAAGGCAAGTTATGGGTTGCCACGGGCACAAATATCATTGTAGACCATTCCGCACTTTACCTTCAGAGCTTTTGTTGTGCCCAGAAAATTAGAGCACATGTCTGGTTGGACAAATCCTTGGCGGCTCAGACATTATTAAATACTCGTGTAAAATTTAAAGCTTTAATTTTAAAATACCGAATTGTAGTAAAATAAATAGACTTGCTTAGCACTCTGAACCTATAGTAAAGTGAACTGATTCAATACATTTTTACAATAAATTTTAAAAATGGTATTAGGGCCGATAAAAACAAAAATAAGTTCCAAATTATAAATTCTTTTCTGAATTTGTATCTAAATTAAAGTATACAAATTAGTTTCAGTTTCACTTGTCATTTATTCATGTTTAAAACGTGAGCAGCAATATAAAACAGAATATGTACAAACAAATCCACAAAGTCTTCATGCGAATTTGAGAAGGGCTTACTTTTTGCATTTGGTAGGCACGTGTAAGAGGCTTCTGCTCTTCCTACTGTTTACAACAGCCAAATATACAAAGGCATTTGTGGTTATCACAGAGAACTGAATCCATTATTAAATCTGCCGAATAGGGAATTTCATTCAGTAGTTTCCAATTCGAATGCGGCTCAGTCGAGGTCACAGTTGCTTAAATGGATAATGATTAATCAATCATTTGCGTTGAGTCATCTGTTTGCTGTTTTGATTATCCCCTAATTAAACATATTTCATTCATTTGTTTGCCTTGGTTCACTTTTGAGATT